GATGTGACTTTTACCGATGATAGGACATTTCCTGAGGAAGTAGATGAACCCCACGTGAAGCAGAAGTCCAACGAGACGGAGACCAGTACGGAAGAAGATACGTCCCGTAAAATTAAGAGACTTTGTTGAATTGTAATTTTGTGTACAGTTAATTAAGTTATTGTTAATTGTTATTAATTTATTGTATGTGGCTATTGTTCGGGACGAACAATACTAAGGAGGGGGCAGTGTTGCGTCATCGAGGTCACGTGACTGGTGTGGCGCCACCTATTTTCTAGAACTATCCTGTACCTTGGCGAATGCTCTAGCATTTGCTAGATATAGGGTAGTCTGGTATATAAAAGAGGGTGACAACGTGACGGGACAATAGTGTGTGTGTAGATAGTGAGTAATTGAACTGCAGTCAGAAGTATTGTTGACGTTCGTTGATACAGCGTTTGTTTTAGCGCGATTGTTGAAAATAAGTGTATCGTAAAGTTGTATTCGGAAAGAATAAACTAGTTTTATTAAGGACTTGTGTCGCTAAAGTTTCGTCGGAACGAAGTTACGGAAAGTTAATTAACAAACGGAGACGTAACAATGTAATATTACATTGTATGTTTGTACAATAAATGTAAAATATACATTACATTGAAAACTTCTTCGAGCCATTTCTCAAAATGTTTACGAAAATGATTATTTTCATTTTAATGGTAGAAATATTTATCAAATAATATTTAACGCTATGGACATCTTAAAATGTGATTTTTTGAAAACTTCATAACCTATTTTTTCTACGACAGCGATTTTTAAATTTAGTTTTTAGAAACTTTTAGAAACAGTTTTCCTAAAATAAGGTAAGTTGTAGAAGTAATTTTTCAGAAATGTTAAACAAAATCTTTTTCTCGTAAGGATTAAACATTAATATAAAGATTGTAAGTTTTCAAATACTATTTAGAAAAAAATGTACCCTGAAAAGTTTTGTATTATTAATTTGTTTAACCCGTGAAAAACTATACTGCATGACAATTCTCTCTGTAATTTATAAATCATTTTTTGAAACTGATATTAAGCGTTTTTCAGGTTTTTGTATTGTTTGTTTGGAGTTTTTCTTGTGGCGGGTACATTATTTGACATCATCAAGAAGTGGAAATCAAGTGACTTGTCACTTGTCACCCAGTCATGTGCTCAGCAAGGGCCAACTACAAAGGATCAGGAAGACTTGCCAAGAGTAGACAAATCAGCTACTCATGACGGAGAATCTAATTCCGAGCCAAAGAATGTGGACAATTTAACATACGGGACCAATGAAACCAAACCATCCAATCTGCTAATAGATTTAAATAAGTCATCGTGGATGGAAGGTAATGACAGTTTATCAGATTGAGCAAACCTTTCATTACTAGTTGTCTTGAAAATGATAATAATTACCAAATTATAATTAAAAGGTAAGGAAGAAAATAATGTTTTCCCCACAATTAGAACCTTCACAACTATTTTCTCCGAATGCATATAAAATAGGGGATAAAGACGGGATCGAATCCTCGACTTCCCGCATATGAAACGCATGCCGTGCTATATGAGTCGAATCTCGAATATTTTTTTTCACATATGTAGCATTATTAAGTGGAATACTATACATTTATATAAGAAGGGTATATGTTTTAGATATAGAAAAACCCTTTAAATAATACTGTTGTTGTATTATGTAGTTGGATAAAACGAAAACCTACTAAGAGGAATTTGGCGTTGTTGTGTTTAGACTTAAAGTAAAGAAGTGTAAAAACGTGGAATGGCTATAAATGAAATGTATCTCTGTACTCAACATTTTTTTTTTGTATAAACACCTTCATTTTCTGGACAATCGCCATCTTTGACTAATATCTTGAGATTTTTTTTTCTTGAACGAACTCCTGATAAAGCGACATTATTAAATAATGAATTTTTAAACTTATTGGAACCAAGAAGTGTAAAAATTAACTTTCTTCGTTTTTTGGTATTTTATTTTATTTTAAATTTTCTTCCAAAATGGCATCAACTCTCCTTTTATTCACCCTCCCCCCCCCTAAAGTATTATCAAAGCGTCGGATCCACAACCACCAATAACGGAAATGGTTACTATTTTATTCCCCTAGCGGATTAACTCGTGTTTCACTACGAAGTATATTTAACCTTGGGCCTAATTTGCGATGTGTTGCTATATCAAAATACATATATAAACCATTAAATACATAAACCACAACTTTGTTATACTTTCATAACTAAACCAATTTTAATTTAGACCAGTATTTACCTGAAAGCTTCTCATGTCAGAGGAGCATTTTCAAATCCTTCTGCTAGCAAATATTAGTTGGTATGAGAGAGGGAGGAGCTAGTCACGGTCATGTGGTGACGACAAAGGGATGTGTCTTTAATGTGATAGCATGTCATAGGCACAAATTATTATCTCGTACGTACAAGATAATTCCATTATTTTTTTATTTTTCACCTTGCAGTTTAGGACCATGTATGCGATGATTTTAATTTTTGTTAGATATTTTACTCCAGTTAACATTTTTTGAAGGCATGGAAATATTCTTTGGTTGGAGACTGTTGTCCTTGAAATACTAAAATAAGCGTATGTATTGTACATGGTCACTGAAGACTTGAAAAATACTTGTCAAAGAGTTGTTATTGTTTCAGGTAACCAAGCCAAGTTTCTAATGTGCTTCTCTGTCTATACAAACGGGGCCAGAATTCTCGACACCACTCCAGGCAAGGGCCAGTTAAATTGTCTTCATGGAATTCGGTTCTTAACAATGTCTTGGGTTATCCTTGGCCACACTTACAGATTTTCAATGCAAGTTGTTGGTAAGTAACTGCCAAAATTTAAATATATGATTTTTTTCGCCAGTTGTCAAAATGAAAGGCTTTTACTTATACTTCTTAATAGTATAAATATATACTGTGTTGTTGTTGGGCTTAGGATTCTTCTAGAATAGGTGTCTGTAACTTGTTGGCAATAAATTCAACGAACAGCATGCACTTCACTTGTTTTCAAAATAATATGTATATATTCAGAACAAGTTAAATGTATGTACAATAAATTATTCACACTATAAAGATTATAGGCATATCATAGACACTATATATGTAGTTCTCTTCTTCCTGTCAAAACTCCACTTAGGCCTATTCAAATACTTTAAAATTTCAGTTGACAAGCCGAACTATTTTCTTTATTACTATCGCACCAGTATTCTGTGTGTGATTCACTTACAGTTGTGGCGCGAGTTACCGTAATCGTTTGATCTTCTTTCTTCAAAATATTCTCTGTTCCTTTTGTCAAAGTGCACTCAGGCTGATTCAATTACTTTAGAACCATGCTTTGACGGAACAAATCTTATTCTTATCTCCTTCCCTACTGTTAGTCTTACTCTAACATATTAAACGTTAGGCATATCACTTCTACGGTAGTTAACTTCACGCCGAACTTTTCCTTACCCGTAATTTTACTCTCTTCTGCTATTGTCGGTTTGCTTTTTCCGCTCATATCACACTATTTATATGTTTATCACTTAATCGTCTGCCCACCTTCTAGAAATCTCTATATTTTCGACGTCAATGTATTGCACGCGACGTTCGATAGTCTCAACATCAGTGACTTATAAACACAGCTTCCAACAATCGTTTGCTTTTAACTCTTATCACAACAAAAACTAAACAATAATAAAATATCCTCTCACAAATATATTAATTAATAATATCTAAACTAAACAGTCTTTTATATCATGACAGTAACCAAAACGGCATACAAAGCAATCGTTCTTCTACTGAAATTTATAGTAGCATTGAATCTAGATGAAACATATTTGATTTGGAAAAATTTGGTTGCATTATTTATGAAACTAAATAAAATATTGATTGCAATTTCGTAGATATACTTGTATGTAAATTAAATGTCTTTGATCTGATTGGCTGTGATGGACAAAAAATGTACACAGTCAACATACGCAGTTTTTGTAGTTTCAAGTCCTTTTCTGGATCTTATGAATATTTATGAAAATAAGAAATGTTTTGATGTGGTAAAACAAAATTTGTAAATAAGGACTAAATCTTAACATTAATTGCCATTATCTGTGTTTTCTTACAGGATAAAAGTCATTTACATTCCAACTTCGAAGCATCTAGCACCCATCTTCACACACATTTTTTGTAGTCGGAAAACCAAAACCACGCGTGATTTTTAGGCCTTAAGGGATGAAGATTCCATTATACAACATTAATGCAATTGATAAATGACAATTATATATATATAGCTATAGATACATTGATATTAATAATACGCATACTATAACACACCCGCTATATGTAGTTTCTCTGTCTCAGTTGTGCTGCAAATTTCCAGTATAACTAGTTCGTGAAAATTGCCCTCGATGTATATATATATATATATATATAGAAACATGTTTCTTAGATTTAAATGCAATATTATTTAGCAATATTTTAGATTTTATACAATATTTCATGTCTAGCTAAATTCTTTTTTAAACATCATTTTGTCTGCCAACATTTAGTGAGCATCGATGCTTGTATTTTGCTGCAGGTGTAAAGAAGGTTAGTCCCAATTTAAAATAACGATGTGCACATGTTAATACAGTGACATTTCTGCGCAGATTTGATATATTTGTTTCACAGCAAACTCTCAACCATTCGACAGTGCTATGGCTGGAGAAGTACGTCACAGCCCATTCCGAATAATTACATTGATCTTCTGATATTTATACACAATGTAGAGGAGCTAAAGGTCGAGACCTTTCGAAAATGACATTCTTCAATCTCTCCATGAAAGCAGAAAACCCCTCGCAGTAGAACGTTTAGGAAAACAACACCCTCATTCGCAAAGTGAAGTTTGTGGTTAAGGAAGATAATTCCTGATCTAAAAATCCATTACGATGAAGTTGGGCACATTAACAAAATGATAAAGAAATATTTCAAGGTTATAAAAGGGCAAAGGTCAAAAGTTCACAAGCTTCCAGATACACACTGAAATTAACAAGTGAAATCACAACAATTTCATTCGACTAGATACCTGTCGAGTCCTTAGATGCAGCTCCAATAGGATTTTGTTTCTTTGCTTGAACGTGGTCTTTGACCCCCATCCCACCCCATCCACGTATAGTTTGACGGTCTGTAGAAGTTTTGTAAAGATATATTACAATATACCTTATGGTATCTAGCCGTCTGATTAACCAAAAGACCTAGAACATCGTTCTTCTATTCAGTGCTGTTAATCCTTATTGATTATGTAATAAATATCAATACTGTTTAAGTAAACACAAATGCACTTACTAAATAGTTCAAGTATTTGTTATAAATTTATTTATTGATCATAAACATTAGAATGTGATCATCATATTTCAGGTTGTTTCTTGAAATGTAATAATAAGTATCCTAGATTCCTCTTTCTTAACTAATCGCATCATAAATTATTACAATAAACTAGTAAATGATAATACTGATGCCCTCCAGTGGCACAGCGATATGTCTGCGGACTTACAACGCTAGAATCCGGGTTTCGATATCCGTGGTGGGCAGAGCACAGATAGCCCATTGTGTAGCTTTGTGCATAATTACAAACAAACAAACAAAATAATACTGATAGCCAGACACAGTGGTGATGATCCATGTTGACATTCTAATCAGAAGACCAGGAACGCGAATGGTTTGAATCCTTTCGGACCATTCCGTCCCAATTTGATACATTTACAATATGAGTTGAATATATTGTTTT